CCTTCAACAAATATTTATTGCACCCCTCACCATGGACCAGGCACTGGACACAAAGATTTTAAAAATAACTAGTAGATAACGTTTTGGAGAGCTTTCTAGGTGCCAAGATGATTCTAAATGTTTCCACATATGTTAACTCCACAGCCCCATGAGGTATGTGGATACTATTATTAGCTCCATTTTCCAGATGAGGAAAGAGGCACAGAGCTATTAAGTAACTTGCCCACGTCTCAGAACTAGTGAGTAACGGAGCCAGGATTAGGTCCCAAGCAGCCTGAGTCCGAAGCCCACCCTGAGAACCACTGTCTTATACAACCATGAGGAAGACATGTCCTGCAGTTAGAGAATTTATGGTCTAATAAGAGAGCCCCGTCATCCATCCAATGATAACACACTGTGAGGGGGTGTGACAGGAGCGTAGCAAAGGGCTCGGGTCCACCTGCAGCTGAGGAGCGAGCAGAAACAATAGTACTAGCTCATACTGATTGAAAGGTTCCCACATCTCAACACTGTATTGCACCCAATAAAGGCATTTCCTCATGAAATCACTCACTAACCTGATTTTACAAATGAGAAAATGGGGGCTTAAAGAAGTTAAGTAGCATATAGCTTAATCAGTTCTCACCCACGTGTTTTTGAAGAATGAGGAAGATTTAGGCTAGATTTCTAGATCCTAAACCAGAGGGGAAGGGCTTGCCAGGGCCAAGGCGCACAGGAGCAGTGATAGGGGAGCTTGTGTGAATTTTAAAATCTAACTTCAAATAAACAGATTCAAAGTCTGTATGTCCTCAATTCCAAGATGCACCATCTAACCATCTATTGGTAACTTTTAATAATAAAAAGAAACCACTTCAAATATGTTTTGTTTTGCTGACCAACTATAACACAGACATATCTGCAATCCATACCTTAGTATTCAGTCCAAGGCAGTGGTTCTCAGACTGTACCAGGCATCAAGCTCAGTCGGGGAGCTTATAACATGCAGGTCACCGAACCCAAACACAGGGATTGGATCCTGTGCTTCTGGGAGGGGCTGGGAGGCCACGTGTGAGCAGGCCTCTTGATTCTGGTGCAAGGCCACGTTTGAGAATCAGTGGTCTCTGGGTCGCTGTTTTCCTTCTGCCTTTATTCAAGCAGACTAAGCATCATAAATTAAATCATTCCTTAAAAAATCAACCAGAACTTTTTGGTAGATAGGGATTCGGTGCCTATCTTATATCGTGAAAACAGAAGAATTGAGCAGAACTAGTCAGCCTTAAAAAGGAAGGAAATTCTGACACATGCTACAGCATGTTTGCACCTTGAGGACATCATGTTAAAGTGAAGTAAGCCAGGCACAGGAAGATAGTGCTGCACAGAGTTCCAGGTTGGGAAGATGAAAGGAGTCCTCGGCGTGGATGGTGGTGGTGGTTGCACAGCTACATGAAGGTACTTAACGCCAATAAATAATAATAAAAACCAGGGTGGGGGCTGAGTAAACCAGCCTTTCTCAGCTCTGATAATTTTGATATCTTCTGAAACACTGATCTCTTCACCTTAGATTGTGATGCCTGATGTCTGACCAATGGTCCTTTTGCACCAGCTCAGTGACAAACACCTACCTACCTACCTGCACCGCTCTAACCTTGTTAAGCTCTCACTATCTTAGAACAAGAGAATGTGCACGTGCAGCCATTCTGGAGATGAGTAATGGTTCACTTTTACATCTGACAGTCCGGTGCCCTATAACTTTTTATTGCACCAAAGCATAGGAATAAAGTTTTCTTAAAAAACATTGGAAGTGCCGAAACCAGTGGATAGAGCGTTGGCCTGCAGACTCAAGGGTCCTGGGTTTGATTCCAGTCAAGGGCATGTGCCTTGGTTGCGGGCACATCCCCGGTGGGGAGTGTGCAAGAGGCGGCTGATCGATGATTCTCTCTCATTGATGTTTCTAACTCTCTATCCGTCTCTCTTCCTCTGTAAAAAAAAAAAATCAATAAAATATATTAATTAAAAACAAACAAACAAAAAAAAAAACATTGGAAGTAACAATCAGGAACCCAAATTTAAGTTAAAGCTTAAACACATGTGGTGCTAACAGGGCCAACCCTCCGGCCAGGAGGCCCTCGGAGGAAGAGATGCTGTCTGCTTGGCTGACCTTGCGTGTGCACCTGTGGTGACAGTTATGGGAGTGGCCAGTTTCCTTCGGTACTGATTGTAAGAAGCAGGCAGAAGTCGGAAATTGTTGAAGGGGGGTAGAGGGGGAATTACTTACCAGTCACGGCCCTTGGTAGCACACCAAAGAAGCTGATTCTGGCTAACTTAAGCAGGAATTTTCTAAAAGATCAGGTTGTTCACAGAATGAATGAGAAGGTTGGAGAACTAGGCTCAAAAGCTAGCTTAGGAAGCCACCACCACTATGAATGAAGTCTCATTCTCCTTCTCCCTGTGTCTGCATCATTCCCTCAAGATTCAGTGATTCGCTATGGTGAGGCGATGGTTGTCTGGCTCCAGACCATCTGTGCCCTAAAAGGTGTTCAGAAAATGCTCATTGTGCACCCAGCACAGACACTCTTTGACCTGTTTCTGAACCTCCAGTTACCTGGTTTTGGTCACAAAGGAGATCAAGTGAGTTTTTGGGTGAGAGAGAGGCCAATCATCTCCTCTGGAAAAGCACGTTCACAGGCAGGTTCTGGTGGGCGGGTCCACGGGCCTTCCCAGCTCCCAGGAACAGCGCCTCCATTCACCTGCTGAGCCGCCACCGGGACCTCGGCTTCTGGCCCACAAGCCAGTCCCCAGTGACAGAACCACTTACTCTTATCTCGGGAGACAGTGTGTTCTGGCCTCACAGGGAAAGAACTCGGAGTGAGAGCTTGACTCTGAATCTTCACATGCTGCTGTGTGACCCGTTGGATATTGTTGTTTTTCCCTCTGTTCTACACTGGCTGCTGACAGCAATGCCAGTAAACTTGGGCCCACACTCTGAGGGCTTTTGTCGTGGTCCCCAGGGAGTCAGGAGTGAGGCAGAACAGAGAATTGAACCTCCCGGCCCAGAGCACACAAACGGTGCTGATGACAAACACCGCTCCGGGCAGCAGCTTCCTCCGAGAGGAGGCTGAGTCAGGGGCTTGGGGACGGGCGCACAGGCGGCTTTGGCATTGCTGAACATTTTCCTTTTATATTAAAAATGTGCCTGAGTCCATTTCCTCGTTCAACTACTCCCCTTACACCTGCTCTTCAAATTTCATGGGAAGTTTAGTGCATGGACTCCTTTATTTCTACCTAATAGGTCATTGTCCTCTAGCCACTTTCTCATCCATCTTAGATCCCTCACTCCCAAGCTCCCAAAACGGGTGTTAACATTTTTGTATTTCTGCTGCAGTATGCATCCATAGGCAATTGAGTATTTCTTGGTTTTGTTTTTGCATTTTACCTGAATGTTATCAGACTGTACATATCCTTTTGAAACTGATTTTTTTTTGTTTTTATGTGTCCCGACCCGCGGGACAACAACGGGGGGCACGCAGGAACCACCTAAGAGAATGAATCAAACAAGGAACGCGGAAAGAATGGAGGCAAGACAAGGTTCTGATCAAGCCTCAGTTTTATTCTCTGAAATGGCTGTATTTATACAGCAGAGACAAAGAGGGGCAGGGCCGCCCATGCAGGGGGGGGGGGGTCTTTGGTATGGCAACACAGGATTGACTAATTGCCAGAGGCGGTGTGACATTCCAAGGTGCAATATTCCAAGGCTGGGCTATCTAGGGGGGAGGATCAGGAAGGGGAAGAGGCAGGAAGACAGGAGATGCTAAACCCCAGGTTAATCTTATCTTCTGGCCAAGCCCTCAGGGCACCACACAACCTCTGCTAGAAGGAACCCAATTCCATTTCCTTAAGACTGAGTTGCTTGACTCAACTCTGCTAGCTCCCAACATTTATGCACCAATTTTTTTGGAGATTGGCCTGTGTTGACAAGTAACAATTTAGTTCATCCTCAGTGCTGTCTGGTAGTTTATTATATAAATAAACTAGACTTATTTATGATTCTTTAGGCTTGTATGCATTTGGAAGTTTTCAAAATCTAAAACAAGAGACACACACACTAAAGTATGAGTCAAGAAAGATGCCATCCAGGCTCTGATAGGCTGCACTGAGACTCTGGTTCTGAAGCTAATCAGATTGAGATTAATAATAAGCCTCCTCTTATTAGCTTTTTTTTTTTTTTTTTTTTTTTTTGCGGGACTCTACTCCTTGGGGAAATCCTGCAAGGTTGAGCACAGGCTGAGAGGAGTGTTGATTTAACTGCGTGATGTGAAGTGTGTTGGCACGTGGCCAAAGCTAACTAAACAGAACTTGTGGTGGGCCTAGCCTCTTGAAAATAGCAATTGGCAAGAGATGATTTCATAGAATGGCTGTGAGACATAATTTTTTTAAGTATTTACAACATCTTTAAGATATAAATAGCCCAAATGATAAATCTTGGTCACAATTTCAGCCAGCCCAACCTTTGACCTCCTTAACACTCTTAAAAACTTGGGTCAAAAAAAGGCAGTTCCTCTCCTGTGCTTACTGAAAACCCAGGTGGCCCCTGGGTTTTCTTTCTTCTCCAAATCTGGTGCTCCCAGAAAGTGAGAGGCTGAGAGAAGTAGGAGCTTTGGACCCAGGGCCTGTGATTTATAGAGCCATTGATGGTCTTTTCCATCGCCCCAAGGACCGTGCTAGGGGAACAGGAGACTTGTGAGGACTCGATGAGATTTCAGATGTGGAAGAAAGCAGTGCCCAGCGTGACTGTGAGCCCCTTTCCAATCCGTTTCTTCCCACAGAAGGGCTCCTGGGAGCACCAGGGTTAACAAGATTCACCCACTCCCGGGGCCCCGTTTGAAGTGATTTTCGGGTGGAGGCCTCCACTGCCTCCAGCTTGGAGACGGGTCCGCTCCCCGGCCACTGCTGGGGGACCAGTGATTCCCAGACTCTGGTTACATGTGTCTCCCATGTAACTGATGCACTCCTCTCTCACCCAGGATATGACTTCTGCCAGGTCCTGCAGTGGTTCGCTGAGCGGGTCGACAGGATCATCTTGCTCTTCGATGCTCACAAACTGGACATCTCGGACGAGTTCTCGGAGGCCATCAAGGCCTTCCGGGGCCAGGACGACAAGATCCGCGTGGTGCTGAACAAGGCCGACCAGGTGGACACGCAGCAGCTGATGCGTGTCTACGGCGCCCTCATGTGGTCCCTGGGCAAAGTCATCAACACGCCCGAGGTGCTGCGCGTCTACATCGGCTCCTTCTGGGCGCAGCCCCTGCAGAACACCGACAACCGCCGGCTGTTCGAGGCCGAGGCCCAGGACCTCTTCAGAGACATCCAGAGCCTCCCCCAGAAGGCGGCCGTGCGCAAGCTCAACGACCTCATCAAGCGAGCGAGGCTGGCCAAGGTAAGCGGCCCGGTCCCGGCACAGCCTCAGGCAGGGCCCTCCCGCGCTCTCAGAGGAGGGGGTGCCCATCCAGAGACTTAGGGCATGATCTTGTCAGAGGTGAGGAGAGAGCCTTGAGGCTGGTGCCCCTGTGTGAATTCTGGCTCCTAGCTCTCTAACCTTGGCAAGTGGCCTCACCTCTCCAACCCTATTTTCTGATCGGTAAAAGGGAGCTAAGAAGGTGTTAGTGACCTATTGGCATGCGGCATTTCTCTTCTCCAGTGGACACAGCTGGACTTAACCTTCAGGGTACTCGATACCCAACTTTATTTTCTAATCAAGGCTGATAAATCACGTCCTAGCCTTTGCAGATTTCAAGATTTTTTTCCGAACTACTTTAAAATGCACATGGACATATTTAATTTACCTGTCATTGTGGAGAGCCTAGTGACTCAAGATGCAGCTGTTCTCGGTCATATAAATAAATAAATAAAAAGCTGAGCCCAGCCGGTGTGGCTCCGTTGGTTGGGCATCAGCCTGTGCACCAGGAGGTTGCCGGTTCAATTCCTGATCAAGGTTCAATCTCCAGTGGCAGCCGATCAATGTTTCTCATCAATGTTTCTATATTTCAATCTCCTTCTCTGAAATCTGTATAAACATGGGGGGGGGGGGGAGGAAAGAGCCGGGAGCTCACTGGGAGGGCCAAGAACTGGCACTTTTTGCCACCCTTGAGCATTGGCCGCCCTGCACGGGCCAGTGTGGCACAAAAGACTGCCTGGGACAGACCCGGGAATAATGAGGCCTGTGTAAACGGGGGCAGGCAGCAGTCAACTTGCTGAGTTTACTTCTAGGAAAAAAGCTTGTCTTCTTTTTCCCTTTCTGAGAATAGTGCTGGCTTGTTCCTTTTTATGAAGAAACATGTTTAAAGTACAGCTGGTCCAGCCCGGGCTTCTCGGGGGCGGCGCCAAGCTGTGCAGGGGCCGGGACACAGCGTCGGGCGGGTGAAGGAGAGCTCGGCCAGCGGCCTGCGAGGCCTCCCTCTTTGCACCGTCTGCAGTGGCGTGGCCACTGGTGAGCTTGTTGTTGCTTAAACGGACACGGAGTCACCTGAGTTTTTCTTTTTGCCATATTTACATTTCTTAAAAATACTCTTAGATTTTGGTGTGTCCATCTTTATTTCTCTTGATCCAGTCTTCCTTTTGCAAGTCAACCCTCGCAGAGGGCCTGCCGTGATCCAGAAGCGTTACGGTCTGCGTGGACTGTGTTGTTTTGTCTGATCCGGTCAGTACTTGCACAGTCAGGCACTGTCTTCATTTCTCCTGCTACAGGGAGCTAACGCTCAGAGAGGCAAAGCCACTTGCCCAAGGCCTCATAAGTTGCAAAATATAGATTTCAACCCCAGGCAGTCTGACTCCTTGTTCACCTGAAACCCAGCGCGGACAGCATCCATTGCTCCTCAGTGAGTGTCCTTGCTTTCTGTGCTGATCTGCCACTGTTTGTTCCTTCAAATTCTCTATCCACATAAACCTACAAAAGTTTAGAGGTTTATCGACCTGACATTTTGAAAACCTGTAGAGGGTATTCAGATGTCACGTAAGAGGTGTCAGAGCTGAGTTGAGGTGTGGAGTGTGTCTATTTATAGAACACCATAATGAGGCAGAATTCATGACGCATCCTAAAATAAACGGGGTGTGACTGTCCGGCCAGTTCTGTGTCACGAAGGTGGCATTTGAGTAATAAGAAGCATGGCACTCTGACCAAAGAACTCTGGAGACTTAATGATTTCCTGGCCTTTTCTACTTAAATATTTTTTCCACAGCTCTGTCCCACATAACAGGAAACCCCTGGAGTGGGTTTTGGTTAGCCTCAAAGATCACACACCTCCTGGAATCAGTACACATCACCCTATAGAGCATGTCCATAATCTAAGATGCAGTCGAGGTTCGTCTCATGATTCTTTAAAGTAAGCTACTAGGGGAAAGACCCAAAAAGCATTTAGAAAACATAATTGAGTTGTATTCAGCTATGAATCAAATAGCCAAATTAAAAAATAAGGCGCTCACAAACCTGAGGTGAGTGTTTTATGGGATAAATGCACAAAAGTAAAAACCGAGGCCAGTTCACTGGCAGACCTCGCCCTTTATAACACATTGCCCAGGAATAGGAAAGCTTCCTGCCCACTTGGAGATCTTTGCTCAACAAAAAAATGAGTCAACATTTGAGGAAGGAACAACTAAAAATGAGAAGGAAAAGGAGAGGCCAGTGATTTTCGGGGTTCACTATAGTTCTGCAGAATTTAGTTTCATCTTCCAAGCGTGTTCTCTTCTTGGTCACGTGTAATGTGCAGAGCCCAGCTTTCTGGTTCATCTGTCAGGTCCTTCTGTGGGGAAGTAAGACTTTGAACTTCACCAGAGACCCAGGTTAAGGTGTGTGGGTCACTCCATAGTAGGCGATGATGGTCCGCCATTGGGGCTTTAAAAATAGCTCAGTCGGCCGCCCCAAGCTGCTGTGGGGTATGTGTCAGTGCGTGAGCCCATATAGGGAAGCATGTCTCTTTGAAGGTTGACCTAGCTGGGTGGTCCCCTCAAGTTCCCTTTAAGCTGTTCAGAATCATATGACCTGACCGTCACTGCCAGCTTTGACTTCAACAGAACAGCCAACCCCCGCTCCAGTGGGAACCTGTCAGCTGCTTTTCTCTGCCTCCTGCAGTCTCACACTTGATGACCCCATGGATTCATCTTTTGGGTATTTTTTAACAGAATTCCTTATACCTAATTCCTAATAAGCCCCCTTTAAAATGTGCTGATCCCCTGATGGTAAGTGCTCTTTGCAAGGTTCCAGCTGGGCCTACAAAGGCGCAGGTCTCCACCAGATCATGTCAAGCTTGGAGATGAGGTTGCACAGTGTAGAATCACATTTTTCCAGACTCACTTTCCTCAAACTGCTTCCGGTACCCAAATTCCATGAGCATTTCCATTCCCACTGACCATGAGCACTGGAAGCTTCCAGTCTCGCTGCTGGGGGTTGCCCTTCAAGCCCAGGGGGATGTATCCAGTCTGAGTCTGAGTACATGCTTGTCGATCGTGGATATATGTGAACACTCGTCACTGAACACAACAAGGCTGTGGCAGGGTCTGTATGTGAACTGTCAGTTCATGTTCATTTAAAGGGAGCACATCTTTCTGCTCATGGATTTATTAGCCCAGAGAAAACGTGACATTTGGGCTTTTCCAGGTTTATACAATGAAATAAAGGGGTGACTTGGACAAGATAAGATTGTTCAAAAGCCCCCAGGGTTCAATGGCCTTCACTAGTGAACGAGGCACTTGGGACCCGAATTCACCATATTACTATTTAAATATGGAGAGTTTATTAATTTTTCAATAAGAACTAAGTAACCACAGCCTTTTCTGGCATTGCTACCTCCAGCTGTTGGTCTCTGACCATTAATCAATAACGAGTAACATTTTATTCCTCTTTCTAATGGACAGAGTGCCTTCAAGTCTTAATCACAACCCTCCCTTGTGAGGTAAGGGTTGTAATTTCCAAATTGCAAAGGAACAAACTGAGGCTGGGGGTCAGCCATCTCTCCCGAGCTGCTCAGGGAGTGGCAGTGGTGGCAGGGCCCGGCCCGCCTTCCAGTGCTTGGTCTGCCCTGCCTCCCTCTCTCCTCCCTCTGTCCCCTTCTCACCCCATATATCTTCTTAATGAGTTTTCTCTCGTTATGAAGAACAAAAGATGTCAGTCTGTTTCCACCTCCTTCCACAGGGACCACACCGGTCTGGCCCTCCCTCCGCCATGTATTGGAGACACCCCTTGACACATTTTGTTGATGCTGGCTGGGGGTTCCAGCCCTCTCTATGCTCTCTGCTGGCCACGAGACCTTAGAAATGTGCAGGGGCCATCCTGCCAGAAGATTGCAGTCTTTACCCACAGTGTGTCCCTAGTGTTGGGTTTCATATGTTTCTTGTGTGTCGAAGGGAAGAGTAAATGACCTTCCAAATGAGTTAGGAATAATCAGAAGCCAAACTTCAAAGTTTCCCACACTATTGTTCTTTAGGACGCAGATCATTTTGAATTCCAGATCTTCAGCAGCTTCAGTAACTTTTTAAATTCATACTCATATAAAGCAATCCTATAAAAATGAAGCAGTTGAATGGTGGTGTCAACTCTCCATCCCCTAACTAGCTGGGTGACCTTGAGTAAAGTCGTATGAATTTTCTGGAACCAGGTGTTCACTTCGATATAGGGGGTCCCTTCCGATTTAATACTCCATGGTTCTGAGGGTTATAACTCACCTCGTAACTTGACAAGCTCCTCAGAGGCGGGGCCCATTCATGGAATCTGACCCTGGCCATTGTCTCGGGATGCCCAGGAAAGGGCAGGAGAGGGGTGGTCACGCAGAGGCAGCACAATAGGAAATTTCCACAAAACAGGCCAGTGGAACTTCCTGTATGTGAGGCTGAGGCTGAGAGTATCCTGCAGCATGAGTCGGCCACCTGAGTCATGGCTCAGGTAGCTCCAGGCAGGTGGGAGGAGGAAGGAGTTGCGGGCTGGCACAGAAACTGCCCCAGTTGTCTCAGCCTGAGGTGGCCCATTATTCAGCAGCCTGTCATCAGCCACTGACCAGCATGAGGGCTGAGCTCAGGGAGCAGGTGCCAGGCATTAGGTGGTAGGTGCACATCACTCACAGTTCAGCCCAGGTAGAGCAGGCCCCTGGGTACCAGGAAGTGCTCAGAAACAGAGTGCCAACCATAGAGTGCCAGGGGCGGGGGTGGGGGGCGGCGGGAGTCAGCCTTCCCTGAGCAAGGGCCTGGAAGCTCTGAGGTACCTCAATAGTAGATGGAGAGGGGGTCTAGGGAGTCCTCCAAGTCCTTCTGGGATATGCAGGGCCCTCCTCCGCTCCATCCAAAACAAGTCAGGCATCACTACCCAAGAAAAGGAAATTACTAGTGTTACTACTTATTCACCTCAGGAATGCAGTGAAAGCCCATCGTTCTAAATTAAAGATTCCCAAACCT